TAAATCGGGTCTCCCCCGTCATCTCCAGATGTTATGGCTCCACCACGTGATAATGAGAACTGTCTATTTCTTTTATGGAATAAAAACCACGTATCGTATTTATATTTGTACATTTGTATATTTATACATACGTATGTTTATATTGGACTTGCAGCTCAACTAATTCACTGTTCGGACTCACTAGGCGTAGGCCTAACACTTTTTTTGATGTGGTTGTTTGTCCGGTTTCGTTAGCAGTGGGGCTAATAAGGGTTGAGAGGATCGTCGTAATTGAAAAGTCTTTTCGGATAAGGTATTTGGTGATTTGAGCGTTACAACACTCGAGGATACTTTTGTTGGAGTTGGTAGAAACACCCGTCCTTAATATGGGCATGAAATTGTTTAAATTAATAGGTTGTTAATTATCGCCCCATTAGTTGTTTCGTAAACGCTTTACTTTTCCCCATCTATTGGGTGATTTTTTGTTAAACTCTAGACTTGCCTTGCGTTTTTGAGTTAAATTTACCTTCTATCTTATTTTTTCTGTTAGGGTGTTACAAGTTGGTATCAGAGGCCTAGTTTAAGCGAACTAGGTATGGAATTAAGTTGCCTAGACTTAAGCTGAAAATTATAAGTGTTAATTTGTGCGTTATGGGAAGGTCTTTTAAGATAGAAGAGTTTTAGAGTCAACGAAGTTACATAATTCATGAATTATGACGATGGTGTTGAGGATCCTTATGTATAACCTATTCAAAATTCTACTTAGCTAATGTTATTTTGAGCAAGTTGTTACATAAGTGTGCTTGAACTCAATGTTATTACAATAATTTATGATTGTGTCAGTAGCGTATTATGTTAGTTTCGTAATCTCTCTCCTAACACTCTTCCACTCTCTTGCATGACAGTCTTTATGGTGAACACTCGGAGTAGACAAGATACCTCACCGGAGGGTCATGCGGTGACTGAATCCACCGCGGATCAACCGCCACGAACCACCATCGCAAGGGTTCATTCTAGGCAAGACACCTTGGGAGGTTGGGTTGAACAGGTTCCCCAAGTTGACATTGCCACCTCTAATCCTGTAATCGAAGAGGAAACCCCGGAGTCAAGAATGATGTGCACAATGATGAATGCTATGAATAGAGCTATGGCCCAACAACAAGAATTCATTATGAAGCTGTTGGATGATAGAGATGTTAACAATCATAAGCATGAAGCAGTTGCCAAGAATGTAACTATGGGGGGGTCTGGGGGTACCGAAAATGGAATCCCAACCCAGGAGCTAGCGACGATTGAGGCGAGACAAATGGGTAGAGTTTGCTCTTACAAGACCTTTCTATGTTGCAAACCACCGGAATTTGTGGGGTCGTACGATCTCGTGGCGTGCATGAATTGGCTTCGTGAGATCGAGCAAGCCTTTCGGGCTTGTGACTGCGATGAGGGGCAAAAAGTGAAGTTTGGCTCTCAAATGCTGAGGGGTGCAGCTCTTACCTAGTGGAACATTGTCATCTCAACCATCGAGGTTACGGAATTGGCCAAGATGAGTTGGGCCACGTTCAAAGAGAAGGTAATGGAATAATATTGTAATGAACAAGAGATGGACCACATCGAAGAAAAGTTCCGAACCCTTAAGAAGGGAAATTTGTCAGTAAGGGACTACACCCGAATTTTCATGGAAAAGCTAAATTTAGTGGGACATGTGGCCCCAACGGAGAAGGATATGATGAAAGCCTACCTCAAAGGGCTGCCTACGGACATGATGATGATGGTTAGGAACTCCAGAGCCTCCACCCTTAGGGAGGCAATCGAAAAGGCCAAAGTCATGGAATCTGTTTATGTTAAAGGAAAAGAAAAAAGGATGACGAGTGGAGAGAAGAGGAAGTGGGAAGGGCCTTATGCACCATCCAAAAAGCCAAACCATTTCAGCAGCAACAATCTCGGAGCCTATCCCAAAGAAGAGGCTACATGGTGTCCCAAATGACACAGTAAACATCACGGCCCATGTAGCACCAACTCTACTCCCACCAAATGCTTTAAGTGTGGGAAGGCGGGCCACACACGAAACGAGTGTCCGATTAAGGGACCCATATGTTTTGGGTGCGGAGAGCCGGGTCACTTCAAGAATGATTGCCAAAAGTTGAAAATAGGTGGGAGTCAAGGAAGAAAAGAGAGCGCCCCGAAAGCAACCAGTCGAGCCTTTCAGATGTCGAGAGAAGAAGCTGAGGCGTCGACGGATGTAGTGTCGGGTACGTTCCTTATTAACTCTGTACCTGCATATGTATTTTTTGATTCGGGTGCTTCATGTTTCTTTGTGTCCACTACATTCTATCAACACTTGCATACGCCTCCTAGTACACTAGAAGATGCATTGATAATAGAGATAGGGAATGGTAGTCAAGTTCTGATGCGTGAAATTGTTAGAAGTTGCGTGTTGGGAATTAAGGGAAAGTAATTTCGGGTGGATCTCATACCCATGGCTATAGGCGGATTCGATATCATAATTGGGATGGATTGGTTGGTAGAGAACCAAGCGGAAATCTTATGCTCTAAAAAGTTGATCCGAATCCCTTTGTCGGGCGGGGATGCGGTGCTAGTTTATGGAGAAGGAAGGAAAGGAAATGTAGTACTCTTATCCACGGCGAAGGCACGTAAGTGTCTAGCTAAGAGATGCTCCTCGTTCATTGCATACATGTTGGATACCAAACTAGAGAAAAGAAAATTTTAAGATGTGAAAGTGGTCAATGAATTTCCCGATGTATTCCCTGAAGACTTACCCGGTTTACCGCCCGATAGGCAGGTGGAGTTCCGGATCGACCTCATTCCGGGACCGCTCCAATTGCTAGAGCCCCCTTACCGTTTGGCGCCATCTGAAATGCAAGTGTTGATATCTCAATTGCAAGACCTTCTGGAGAAAGGGTTTGTTAGACCGAGTTCGTCACCGTGGGGAGCTCCAGTCTTGTTTGTAAAAAAAAGAAAGACGGCACCATGAGGATGTGTATTGACTACAGAGAGCTCAATAAGAAAACCGTGAAGAACAAATATCCTCTTCCTAGGATAGACGACCTTTTTGACCAACTTCAGGGAGCAAGTTGCTTCTCTAAGATTGACCTTCGCTCGGAGTATTACCAAGTATGAGTAAGAGAAGATGATGTGTCGAAGACAGCTTTTAGAACACAATATGGGCACTATGAATTCTTGGTCATGCCTTTAGGTTTGATGAATGCACCGGCGGTATTCATGGACTTGATGAACCGAGTGTGCTGACCGTTCCTTGATAAGTCAGTGATAGTGTTCATTGACGACATACTCGTCTATTCCAAGGATGAGACGGATCATGAACAGCATCTTTGAGAAGTTCTCGAAATGTTAAGAAAAGAGAAATTGTATGCAAAATTCTCCAACTGCGACTTTTGGCTAAATGAGGTCCAATTCTTGGGTCACGTTGTCACTCAAGACGGGGTGAAGGTGGACCCATCCAAGATCGAGGCGATGATGAATTGGGAACCACCAAAGAGTCCGTCAGAGATTCGAAGTTTCTTGGGTCTGGCGGGTTATTACAGGAGATTTATCCAAGATTTCTCCAAGGTCGCTTCTTCCTTGGCAGCATTGACTAGGAAGAATGTGAAGTTTATCTGGACAGAAAAACAAGAATATGCTTTTAGAACTCTCCAAAAGAAATTATGTGAAACCCCGATTCTCTCCTTACCAAAAGGATCCAAAGACTTCATAGTTTCTAGTGACGCTTTGAAAATGGTATTGAGTTGCGTCTTGATGTAAATGGGAAAGGTGATAGCATACGCCTCAAAACAACTCAATGATCACGAGAAAAATTATCCCACACACGATTTGGAGCTAGCGGCGGTGGTGTTCACCTTAAAGCTTTGGCGACATTACCTTTATGGTACCAAGTGCACGCTTTTCACCGATCACAAGAGTTTAAAGTACATTTTTGATCAAAAAGAATTAAACATGAGGCAACGGCGTTGGCTCGAGATGCTCAAGGACTACGATTGCGAATTACTATACCATCCGGGAAAGGCTAATGTAGTGGCAGATGCTTTGAGCCGAAAGGAGTACGGTAGTGGGACGAAAGTCGTGCTCACCAGGATCGATGTAATGTCCAGTTTAATCGATCGGATCAAAGCGGCGCAGTCTGAAGCACTTTTGGAAGGAAATCTCAAGAATGAAGTAATGATAAAACAACACTTACTTCTTAGGGAGGACGACCGTGGCTTAAAGTTGTTTCAAGGACGTATATGGGTACCCAAGGTTGGAGGCAATCGTGAACTATTGCTGGAAGATGCGCACAAGTCTAAATACTCCATTCACCCAGGTAGCACCAAGATGTATTGGGACTTGAAACTGGCATATTGGTGGCCCGTTATGAAGCTTGATGTGGCTCGTCACGTAAAGAGGTGCGTGACTTGTTTGCAGGTGAAAGCGGAGCACCAACGACCTTATGGTAGCCTTCAATCCTTGGAAATCCCCGAATGGAAGTGGGAGCATATTACGATGGATTTTGTGACCAAACTGCCGAAAACCTTAAGAGGTCATGATACGATTTGGGTAGTAGTTGATCGACTAACGAAGAGCGCTAACTTCTTAGCAATGCGTGAATCGTTACCCATGGAGAAGCTAGCCAGGTTGTACATCGATGAAATAGTCTCAAGGCATGGTTTACCGTTGTCAATAGTATCGGATAGAGATAGCCGATTCACCTCCCATTTCTGGGGCGGCTTACAAAAAGAACTGGGTACGAGGGTGAAGTTGAGCACGGTTTACCATCCTCAAACCAATGGTCAGAGTGAGTGTACCATTCAAACCCTCAAAGACATGCTTCGTTCGTGTGTCATCGACTTTGGCGGGAATTGGGATTCTCACCTACCCCTAGTGGAGTTCGCCTACAACAATAGTTATCATTCCAATATCGGAATGGCACCTTTTGAGGCTTTGTATGGTCGAAAATGTAGGACTCCTGTGTGTTGGCTTGAAGCGGGTGAGAAACAATTCGCCGGTCCCGAAATCGTACAAGAAACGGCCGATAAGATGAAATGTATTCGGGAACGTTTAAAGGCGGTGCAGGATCGACAAAAGAGCTACACAGACAAGAGGAGCCAACCTATAGAATTTCAAGTGGGCGACCGCGTAATGCTAAAAGTGTCCCCATGGAAAGGTATTATCTGTTTTGGAAAGCGTGGGAAGCTAAGTCCCCGTTTCTGTTGACCGTTTAAAGTCTTGGCTAGGGTGCGACTTCAGGCTTATAAATTAGAACTATTACCAGAGATGGCCGGAATACATAACACATTCCATGTGTGCTACCTTCGTAAGTGCTTGGCGGAAGAAGAAAGTGTAATACCACTTTCGGAAATTCGTGTAGACGAGAACAAACAATGCGTGGAAGAACCGGAAGCCATCTTGGAAAGCAAAACCAAGGTATTGAGGCATACAGAGTTTGTCATGGTCAAGGTAAAATGGAAACATCATCGAGGATCAAACGTGACATGGGAAGTGGAAGAGGACTTGAAGAAGCGTTACCCCCACCTCTTCGTGTGAGCTAAAATTTCGAGGACAAAATTTGATCCGAGGTGGAGAGGATTGTAACATCTGGAAAATTTTCCCTTTTCCCAGCTCTGTGCGCGTCAAAAAAAAAGAAGATTTATATAAGGTACACGTTTTCATTTACTTAATTAGTGTTTAAAAACACTTTATATTATGTAAATCCTCCTTTGTAAAGTATATAGGAGTAAATGTATATATATATATATATACATATATATAAAGTTATTTTAGGGAGGAGGGTTCTTT